CCTTTAAAAGTTCCTTTATCAAAAGAGAATTCACAGGTTGGCACCACTTTGCCGGTTACAAAAGTACACCCTCTGTTTACAAATCTGTGCCACTTAATTAAAAAAACATTTCCACGTTTCAAACACGAGACCAGGCCCACCCTTCCCCGCTTCTCGAAACCTTCCCCCCCCCCCCCCCCGCCCCCGCACTTCCCCCCCACAAGGCCTGGGCTGATGAGTGGGTGAGGAGGGTCTCCCAATGAGCCACAGGAAAGCAGCAGACCCCGTCAGGGTTGGTGCGGCCGCCCCTTTTCCGTCAAGAAGGTCATGACCGTGGCATAGAAAAGGTATCCGAGGAGGAGGAGCAAGGTGCAAGGCACGGGGCCGACGCAGAACCGGGAGGCCACGAAGTAGACCACGAGCAAGGAGAGGAGGACCCTGTAGCTCGCCAGAAACCTCAGGCTGACCCGGGGCCGCTGGGCCTGCTCCTGGCGCTGCCTGGGCATCGGGCTGTGCCTGGCCTTCGTCCCCAGGGCAGGGCTGGTCAGGTGGTAGCGGCAGAAGCTGCCCAGAAAGTCTCCTCGGCCACAGAGTCTTTCCATTTGGTCTGCAAACTGAAAAGAGGGGTCGGGTCAGCACGCAGGCCAGGAAACACGGAGGCCTCCCTCCTTGGTCTCTCCTCCCCCCCCCATCTTGATCAGCTGCCTGGGGCTTCTGAGAGAACCTGGAGAATCCCACCTGGGTCTCTGAGGAGGAGCGGCCCCAAGCTCCAGGAAGAGGTTTTCTGTGAAACTTACACGCTCATTGATGGCCAAAGAGAGGCGGTAAAACAGGCGCACGAGAGTGGGGCTTTCGTAACTTCGGATGGGCTGAAGCTCGGGATCTCCTTGGTACTCCACCTGAAACCTGCGCAGGCCATTGATGATCTAGAAGACCAATTGCTGTGTTTCAGCCTTAAATGGGTTTTGAGCCCCCCATGCAATGAGCAAAGGTCTCTCCTCTGGGGCGGCGGCGGCGGCGGCAGCAGCAGCAGCAGCAGCAGCAGGAGGAATAGGACACCCATGGCTTTTTAGGGCACCAGGAGGAGGAATTGGGAAGCCACTTCGGTGTACGTCATACTCTGCTCGTCTTTAAGGCATTGCAAGATGATTTGAACTACAGTTGTGCCCCGCTGGACGATTACCCCATATAACAACAAATCCGCTTAACGTTGAATTTTTTGCAATCGCTTTTGTGATTGCAAAACAATGGTTTAAATGGGTTTTTTTTCGTTTCACGATGATCAGTTCCCTGCTTCAGGAACTGATTTTCGCTTTACAATGATCAGCAAACAGCTGATCGTCGGGTTTCAAAATGGCCCCCCGCTGTTTTTAAGACTGATTTTTCGCTTAATAGGCACTAGAAAATAGCCTCCATATGGAGGATCTTCACTGGACGAGCAGGTATTCAGCCCATTGGAACGCACTGAATGGTTTTCAATGGTTTTTTTAAATTTTCATTTGACGATGTTTTCACTCTACAGCGATTTCGCTGGAATGAATTAACGTTGTCAAGGGAGGCACCACTGTGGGTTTCAGCAACAGACTGACTGAGAACAGAGTCACAGGGCTTTCAAACTGAATTATAATTCTCCTAGTGGCTTTTTCGTTCTTTTCCTAATTCACGAACGAAAGCAAAAGACCTCTACCATTTAGAAGAACGTTGAATAAGGAATGTTCACATTTACAGCTCCATTTGGGGTGTAGGGGGAGAGGAGGTGCCCTTCCCTCTTAAGCCTCAGAAGCTTTCAAAGGAAGCTTGATCAAAGTGGCTTCATTCAGCACCCAGCTGCAGCTTTGAGCCACTCACAAGTGTGCCGACTGGGTGAGGAAGCCCGCCATGACAGGCCAAACAGCCCTCACCCACTCTTACCTGGTACCTGCCAAGGGGCGTGAGAGTTACTCCATCTTCTGTCTGGATGCAGTCTGGCAGCTGCTTCTTCCCGTTCTCATCCTGAGCTGCCCCCCAGTTCATCATCATCTGGTGAAGCTGAGCTTCGTTCAACTGTCAGACATTGAAATGGCACCTCTGTTAAAGCTGCCGTACAGCAGAAGGTAAAGGAGAGCAAGCTACGAGCGTCACCTCCCTCTTCAGGTCTCTGAGTGCAACCCTTTTTTTTCTCCGCTCAGTTTCCAAAACCTTCTGATCTCCTCCTTAGGACCGCAAAGTGAACAACTCTAAGCCCAAGTGCCTTTGGGGAGCACAGCTCCAAGCAAAGAAAAGGCTCATCGCCCCCGTGATGGCCTGATGCTTAAAGCAAGAGCTGCAGAAAGTGCATTCAGGTTCTTGAAAGCCCTCTCTTGATTAACTTTCGGTGGTTCTGAAGACAAAAGCATTGTGTTCCAAAGGGACCTCTCCCCCCTCCCCCGCCTGCCGGTCCTTGACTGCCCTCTTCAAACAGGAAATGGAAAAATAGAACCATACCCGGAAAATGTGACACAGATATTCCAGGGCCTTCTCCAAGTATTCATCTGTCTTCTTGATGCTGTCTTGCCCGATTTCATCCAGGTCGTTGCCGGTGTAGGAGCCATTCAAGTCGGTAGAGCCAAACCGGAACCAGGAAAAAAAGGACTGGTTGGCCATGGCCTCCACAGAATGGACCGAGATGGACTGGGCCCTCTGCTGGGCCTGGCCGATCTGCTGGGCCAGACGCAGCACCTGGAAGGGCAGAGCAGGTTGCCAGACCCGGCTCCCAACGAGGGACAGACAACGGGCGGTGGGAGGAGGAGGAGGAGGACGCAGCGTCTCCGTGGGAAGGCAAATCCAGCCGTGGTGCTGGAGGCCAACTCACTGAGAGAGCGAGGGGGTTTGCTTGTGGCCTAGAAGCAGCTGCTTCTCTGAGCCCCACGCCTGGGGTTTGGCCAAAGGATTGGGGCCAAAGATTTCATGAAAGGTGAGAAAGAGCTTACCAGGTTTCTGACTTCTGGCCCGAACATCTGTGTGTACTGGAAGTCCTGCCCCTCAAGGCTGTAAACCTGACTCTTCACCTTGAAGGAGGCATCCGTGACGTTTGGAATCCGGGGTGACAGGAAGCTTCCCCCGAGAGAGGGGCTCGCAAAGAGGCGGTGCTGGTGGCGCTGAGGGATGGCCGGGTCCGTCTCCAGAAAAAGCTGCTCGGCTGCAGAGCGGAAGGAGGAGAAGCCGTTCGTTTTATGTCGGTCTGTGTCTAATTTCGATTGCTATAGTAATTATGTTCACTGTTTTTTAAATGGCTGTTCATTATGTTATGCCATAATGTTGTCAACTGCCCAGAGGAGCCTTGACAGCCAGATGGGCGGTGTAAAAGTCAAATAAATAAATAGTCCTGGCTGTGCTGGGAGTAAATCAACAAAGTCCACTTTAGCATAAAGCCATAATTTCCTTGCTGGTTTTCTCATACCGAGCACATTGCCAACATCCTTAAGGTAGGTGCATAACGATTTTGTCTCACCGCACACATGCTTCTCTCGGTTGGGCACAGCCTAGTTAGAAATATAGCTCCGGGATGGACGCCATGGCTCCTATTGCGCCAGCCAGGCTACTTTGCTGCCCTTCCCCCTCCAGCGACAGGGGGCTTCTCCACTGTGTTGAGCATTGAGGGAAGAGGGGCAGGCAGACCGACAGGAGGTGGGCTCCCACATTCCCATCTTACCTTTCTGGATCATCTCAGCTAGATTGGGCTGAGCAAACACTTTAGCCACCCTAAACACCATCAGGGCATTCTTCGGGCTGACCAGGTCGGTCCGGAGGGCACGGTTCAGAAAGCTAACAAAGAGCTTGGTGTACATCAGCAGGTTCTCTTGAACAAAGGGAGCCCTTTCAAAAGCAGAAAAGAGATTTGGAGAATGCCACTGAAATGTGACGTAGCCTGCCTGCCTGCCTGCCACCCTCCCGCCCTTGACAGGCGCCCAAGTACAAAGAGGCCCCAAGAAAGCCACTGGCCAGTCTCCCCCGGGACTGTGGCCCCATCCTGGGGCAAAGCATAAAAGGGGCATCGGGCCCTCAGACAAGGAAGAGACACACACACACACACACTCCACCACAGGTGCTGCCACCAGAAGACATCTTGGAGGAAGGAGGACTGAGGGGTGGCCCTGCACGCGGGCCCAGCCGGATCCGGCCCAAGACTCACCACTTCTCGGAGACGCTGCGAGGGGGCCCCTCGGCGCTCAGAAGGGGCTTCTCAGGGGCATACCGCCAGGGCTGCAAGTAGCTCAACCACATTTCCAGAACCTATGGGGAGAAGTTCCAGGTTTCAAGAAAGAGCCTTTCGTTTTCATTAAGCACCAGCTGGCTTCCCTGGAAGGACCACGTGGTGAAGCTGTGGGCAAAGAGGCCAAATTGCCCCCCCCAAACAAAAGGCGATGGCTGTGGGCAAAGAGGCCAAATTGCCCCCCCAAACAAAAGGCGATGGGGGTGCCACCCCTTCTCCTGAAGCCTCTGGGCCTCCGAGGGCTCTCCCGCACGAATTCCGCTCTGGCCTCCATGAACTCTGCCTTGTCTTTACGATTGCCCATCTCTGTTTTACACGGAAGGCACCCTCGCTCCCCTGGGTGTTCTCTTGCTATCAGGCAGAAGACGAGCAGCAGCCGCTCTTCCTTGTGAAGAAGGATCCCCTCGGGAAGCCAGGCTGCCCCCAACAACGCATCCCCACCCCAGGCAACAAGGCCCCCAGCCCAGTACATACCGCTCTGAAAGAAGCATCCAGGGGCCAGTGGCCGAAGGAGTGCTGCAGAAAGATGTAGAGCTTCTGCTGAACAAAGCGGGGAATCACCGTCCTGCAAAGGCGCCCGGCAGAAAGAGAGACAGACGGGTAAGAGGACCCCATCTTGGGTCATGGATTCTGCTGTCAAACCTCCTCTTGCCTTCAACCCTTTCCTTCTGAGGATCCACCAGAACCCACCCTCCTGGCAGCCCTTGCTTGGGGGGGGGCAGCAGAATATATTCCCCTTCCCCTCTTCTATGCTGCACCTCTTCAGGAATTGGCATGTCTGACATGGGCCCCTCCCTCCACCCCCAGGATGCCCGTCTCACTTCCTCAGTGGAAACAGACAGCCCAGCTGTGAGAGCGAGGCGAGGGCAACACACCTCTTGAACTCCTCCAGCGGGCTGGTGGCATGCGAATGCGTCGCCTCTGGCTTCAGGCTGTTGCTGAAGGCGTGCAGGTGCTTCACCAACAGGCGGATAACCAAGACGTGTTCCTCGGTGGGCCTGAACGAATCCTGGATGGAAAGCAGCAGCAGCAGCAGGAAGAGGAGGAGGAGGAGGAGAAGGAAAGCAGTAAATTCTCCCCTCACCTCAAGAGGAGGGCAGGAAAGAGAGCACCAGGGCTGCAGAGTAGAGGGCGAAGGAGGACGCGGAAGGACCCACGGAGCCTTCGCCTTCATTCCTGGCCAGCCAGCTCACATGGTCCACACACAGAGACCACGTCCACCCCGTGCCGAGGATGGCAAGGGGCCCCACGCCACAGCGGCTGCTGCCGGAGGGAGAGAAGAGGGTCCAGTGGGAAGGGCCTCCCACCTCACCCTCTGGGCTCCGGGATCAAAAGAGGCCAAAGAACCCGAGGGAGGAAAGCCGGCTGAGGGAACCAGGGCGGCAGGGGGACCTCCGCCAGGCCTCCTTCGCGGGCTGCCTTGCAGGAGCGCCGCCCTTTCCAAACACAAGGAAGGCCATCCTCTGGGACCCCCAGAGGAGCTGAAGAGGCTGCCGTGCGCACACGCTCCTTTGGAACGGCAGCCGCCCAGAGGGAGAGCTTTCCCACAGGAGTTGCACTGCCCTCAAGCTGGCGCCAAGGAGTTTTCCCTCAACAGGCGCCTCACCCACTGGCATGATGGCTGGTGGGGGTGGCTGGACGCTGTGGGGGGGTTTGCGGGGGGCTGCCTTTTGATCTGTCCTGCTTTGGGATGGTGCGCGCCCCGAGACCCTCCTCCTCCTGCCTGCTGGGAAGATGAAGGAGTGGCTCCCAGCAGAACCGCAGACTTATTGGTTAGGAAGAGAAGCAAGCTGAAAAGAAGGATGAAAGGTGAAAATACTTGGTATGTGTGGAGGGCCTGGTAGCTGGATTGGGCAGGATGACTGTGGGAGGTGCTGGACGTACTGAGCCGGTAGTGAAGAACCTCCAGCTGAGAGACAACGACACAAGAGGGGAAAGGGGGGGGAAGGTCAGGGAGAGGAAATGGAAGGAAACAGGAAAAAATGAACAGTGAGAATGAGCCCAAGAGGAGGAAGGATGAGAAACAAAAATAAACGCAGAAGAATGAGTCAAATGCAACACGGACGTGGAGGAAAGGAGGGGGCCGACCGAGAACCCCACCCACCGAGCCCCTCCTCTGCCGATCCCAGGGGGTGCCACACTCTGCTTGGCTCAAACCCAGTCCCCTCCCCATCTAAAGCCCACCTTCCTGCTCACTCCACAGACACAGGGCTCAAGGGGACATCTCCGGTGTGGAACACGGGCTCCACACAAGAAGGGCAGCGTTTGGGAGGGAAAGAAGGCTGAGGACACCCCCCACACACACTTGACGGAGGGCCTGATGGGCTGCCCCTGAGCATCTGCTTCCACTCCGGGAACCACAGCGGCCGGACCAGTGAGACAGGCTTCAGGCCAGACAGAGGGAAGGGAGGGAGGGAAGGAAGGAAGGTGGGGCCTCCTGGGAGTCGGTTGAGTTTTGCAGCGGCTGCCCCTGGGCTCCCTCTGCTCTTTCCCCACCTCTCTTTTAGGACTGCAAGCCCCTTGGGGCAGGGACCTGTCTGCAGCCGGGCCACTGGCAGCGTGGTCTCCTGCTGTTCCAGTGAAGCCACAGAGTCCCACCTGGGTTCTGATGGAGCAATCATGGGTGGCAGAGCAACAGAGGCTGAAGCGTTCATCCGAAGGCTTGCCAGCTCCTCTCCAGCCGGGGCTCCTTGTGTGGCTAGCTGAGTGCCAGGGCTGGGCAACCAGGGGAGCAGCCCCTGCCATCTGCGACAGGTCTGTGGCCCAGGACCACCTACGGCCCTGCCACAGACCCTGGATGGGCACCTGATCCACTACAAGGGGCCCTGGCTTGGCCTTGCCCCAGTGGGGATTTCCAGTGGGTAGTTCTGCCTTACTGCTTTGGACATGTCTGGGTGCTGGTTTTCACTTTCTAGCATGGAATGCATTTGATCCTTTTAAATATTTGTAATGTCTTTTAAGGATGTAACCCTCCTTGGGCCCTTATTTTACCCTGATGGGGTAAAAAGATTTTTAAATACATAAATAAATGCCTGCTTTTTGTCCCAAGGTTTGGATTCAGGCTCAACAAGGAGGCAAACCCGCTTAGGGCAGGGCAGGGCAAAAGGGGGCACAGGTGGTCCCCGACAGGCCACATGGGTTGCACAGAGCCCTTGAGCAAAGGGACCCACACACCCAGCACGGGCTCACCCGGCCACGACTCAAACACTTCTCCCTGTTTTGTCAAACGGGCAGCTGCTGCTCGGGCACTCGCGAGAACTCCAAGTCAGTCCCTGAAGAAGTTAGCCATCCCCGAGGGGTGGGGTGGGGGGAGAAGAGGAGTTACAAAAGGTGCCATCCTTAAGATCCTTTCTTCCCTGCTTCCCCCCCCCCCGCCCCCCATACAGACATTTTGGCAAAGGCAGGTCTTTAAAAAGCCACAAATTTTCAACTAGGAAGCAGAAGATGGACAAGGC